AAAAAAAAAAAAAAAAAAAAAAAAAAAAACCCACAAAACCTTGTACAAGAATGTTCATAGCAACAATATTCACAATAGCAGAAAGCAACTCAAATGTCTATCAACTGATAAATGGTTGAACAAACTGGTCCATCCATGCAATGGATATTTGGTCATAAACAGAAATGATGTCCTGATTTATGCTACAACATAAACATTATGCTAAGTGAAAGAAGATAGATACAAAAGCCACATGCTGTATGATTCCATTTATGTAAAATGTCTAAAATAGGCAAATCCATAAAGACAGAAGTAGAATGACTGCCAGGGGCTGAGAAAGGAGAGGACGGAAAGTGACTGCTTAACAGCGCAGAGTTTTTTACTGAGTTGTTGAAATGTTTAGAAATTAGGTAGCAGCAACTATTGTACAACACTGAACATACCAAAAACACCACAGAATTATACACTCTAAAATGGTTTAACAACAAATGTTATGTGAATTTTATCTCAATTTAAAAAAGGTTGGCCGGGGGCAGTGGCTCATACCTGTAATCTCAACACGTTGGGAGGCCCAGGCAAGTGAATCACCTGAGGTCAGGAATTCAAGACCAGCCTGACCAACATGGTGAAACCCTGTCTCTATTAAAAATACAAAATTAGCCAGGCATGGTGGTGCATGCCTGTAATCCTGGTTAATTGGGAGGCTAAGGCAGGAGAATGGCTCTAACCCAGGAGGCAGAGGTTGCAGTGAGCTGAGATGGCGCCATTGCACTCCAACCTGGGCAACAAGAGCAAAACTCCAACTCCAAAAAAAAAAAAAAAAAAATCAAATCTTGGCTGGGCACAGTGGCTCACACCCATAATCCCAGAACTCTGGTTGGCCCAGGCAGAAGGATCCCTTGAGCCCAGGAGTTTGAGACCAGCTTGAGCAACATAGCAAGAACCCCAACTCCACAAAAAAATTTAAAAATTAGCTGGGTATGGTTAGCACATGCCTGTAGTCCCAGCTACTCAGGAAACTGAGGTGGGAGGATCACTTGAGCCCAAGAGGTAGAGGCTGTGAACCTTAATTACACTGATGCACTCCAGCCTGAGTGGCAGAACAAGACCCTGTCTCGAAAACTACTAATATACAGCTGGGCACGGTGGCTCACACCTGTAATCCCAGCAGTTTGAGAGGCCGAGACAGGTGGATCACCTGAGGTTGGGAGTTTGACACTACCTGGCCAACATGGTGAAACTCCATCTCTACTAAAAAAAAAAAAAAAAAATACAAAATTAGCCAGGCGTGGTGGTACATGCCTGTAATCCCAGCTACTCAGGAGGCTGAGGCAGGAGAACTGCTTGAACCCGGGAGGTGGAGGTTGCCGTGAGCCTAGATCACACCACTGCATTCCAGCCAGGGACACAAGAGCGAGACTCAGTCTCAAAAAAAAAAAAAAGAAAAAAAAAAAATGTTGCCTCAAACATACTTTAACTACCAGACCACGTATCACCAAACATGAAGGTAAGCTAAGGAAGACATGAAATCCAAAAAACAGATGGTCCATCTCAGAAGATGATGTGAACAGCTGTGCAGCAGAATAGGGAGGAGTCCAAACTGGAGCAGGAAGACAGCTCTGGGAGAAAGGTCATCACAGGAAAAAAAAAAAAAAAAAAAAAAAAAAAAAAAAAAAAAAAAAAAAAAAGGAAATGACAAATCTAATGTAACTGACCATCTCATAGGCTTTTTATACAGTTCATTTAA